GGAAGACCCTTTTCATAAAATGCCTTTTTCGATCATTCTATACTTCCGCACGGATGACCGCAACGTCAGAAATGGATGGAAATAGCATACCATCAGTACTTACCTATCAGTAAAGTGATAATTCACTCCAGTAATATTGCAAAAAGTCTCGTCCCTAGTATCACCCAGAAATGGGCTTCCACCTGAGAGCCTGAAAAAGCACAAACAGGAAATTCCTCGCCCCTCGATGACTTCCTATTACGTAGTAATGTATGTAATTCTAGTCACTTACAGGATGTAGGTGACAACTCCCAATGCCCACATGTCTGTCGCGGGACTCAAGGGCTCATAATTGACCACTTCAGGAGCTGAAACTACCTCAATTAGAGGATGATTGCTATAGAAGTTAAAGTGCTCCCGTCCTAGTATTGATTTTATTGATTAGCTCGAGGTAATTCAGACATAACTCAATGGGAAGACTAACTTACCAACAAACTCCGGAGTGCCGACCATATCCTTGACGGTGTGACCGGGTGGTATCAATCGCGAAAGACCGAAGTCAATCAGTTTCACTTGGGAATCACCCCGTTTCTTCAGCATTACATTCTCGGGCTGTAAGCAAAATGTGTTTCCGTACGTGAACTACCAAAAAAAAGTGATAAATCAGAAAATAAGTAAGCTAATAAAATATACAGAGGACAGAAATAATGCTGAATTTTCGCTGTCATTATCTTTGGAGGGGAGAAAAATGGAAGTCATAGATAACCTTACGATTTTGCGACCGCTCTAAGAAGAGCTTAGTCAGATTTAGCCGTCCTCTTACTGAGTTGTACAGTAGTCCCAGTGGCTGCCCAAAAGAATTTCGCAGCCCAAAAGCATCTGTCCTTAGCAACCCTGGACCCGCTCACCCCTTTCTCTACCCTGTTCAGGGTCCCTCTCTTTTCAGCTTTGCGCCGTTCGCTTTTTCAGTTCAGCCGGCACCATTCTGTTTGCACAAGAGCCATCGGTTGTGCTGACGACAAGCAGGGTTAATTTAAAAACGCCCCACTGCCAAAAATTGTACCGCCATGACAAAGCCTTGCTCCTATCCGGTTCACCAGGGCCCACCGACTAGTGAAAAGCACTATGGACATCTTTTCTATCACCGGTCTCTCAAACCGGTCTGTTGAACTTGAAAAAGGCTTCTAATAAGGTGCCACACAAACCAGACCCCATTGTGTCACGACCGCCGGACATGGTAGGATGTGATTTTCGGTTTTTTTCACCCGTTCAGCTGTACGAACTATCACATGTTCAGCATGACAGAACTCAAGGTGAACTTTTAGATCTCGCTGAGTAAAGGGTATGAGATAATGAAGTGAGTAAAGGTTGGGGCGATTTTGAAGGTTCGTTTTTATGGCAAAAAGATGTCGGCTTGGTGTTGCTCAGGCCCTGCTACCAATCTTTTCAGTAACTCTTGCAAGGGGATCTCTTCCGCTCCTTCAATAGCAAACTCTTCAAAATCGGATTATTACAGAGCGGAAAGTAGTAAGCTGCGCCCTCATCATATAGGTCCCTTAATCAGACTACTTCTCAATCGATCTCAAAACCGCATCACCTTTTATCCTATAGGGCCCAGAATTCGTTGAGTTAAACTGATGTCTTATACATCATCTTGTGCATGCCATTCATTGTGTAGACGTGAAATAATCTCTAAGGTCTTAGCATAAAGTAAGCCAAATGCGAAGCTCAATCCAGAGCTACTCAAACTCTCCCTTTCAGTGAAATTCCGTGTGGACGTTTTGGGATCGAAACAGTCTCTGAATGTATACAGGTTACAAGGCATCAAATGCTCATCATCCGGTGGGGGAGAGCCAGTCTCAACACTTTTACTCGAAAATTGGTTAGCATCTGGATGTTCTTTCAGCAGAGCAGCTCTTTGATAGGGTAAGCAGTCAACTAACAATTTAGCAGGTTAATTTCGCAAAAATCACAAAAACTCTTACGATTTCAAATTAAATATCACGAAAATCCGAAAAGTTCAAGGTACCTTGATGTCGAGATGAACAATGTGAAGGCTGTGAAGGTGTTTTATGCCGAGTAGAATCTGACGAATGAATGCTGCTGCTTCCACTTCATCCAAACATTCTCTAGCACACACATGATCAAATAATTCACCGCCAGATACCCTGAAAACTCAGAAAATTGAAAATTTGAAAGTTTGAGTGTCACTGGCTTAGTGATAGTCGTTCACCGCCTAAACCATCTGTATAAACTTTTCCTACACTTAAATATTACCACAATTCTGAAAAGAGACCAATTTCATGGCGCATGTCAAAGGACTTAATCGACCCCGTTTCCTTGACCTCCACAAATATTTCTACGATTCAATTGGGTGAAGAATTGGGCGAGCATATCAAAAAACCCCCTCCTTGAATCAATCCAACGGGATTAAATGGATGCCTAGCAACGAGGCCATAAATTCCAGATGCAGTAGAATGTGCTAGCCAGAAAAAAAGGTAGGAAATGGAAACGTACAGCTCAAGCACTAGAATAACGTCGCTTGGAGTTTCATAGACTTCGTGCAGTTCGATCACATTGCTATGACCACCCACAGTACGCAATACGGACACCTAAACACTGTGGATCTTCGTAAAATAATACTACCAGTATAAAAGAATAATAATAATAATGATAGCAAACACTAAAAAGATCATAAAATTCAATAGTTAAAAAAGTTCAATAATGTATCAGCTACAGGATATAAAACACCAAAAAATCCACGAGTATCGTGAGTTGTGGGCGAAACTTCGGCCTCTGATGGGACTCAAACCCGTACTTGCGTTTTTGGGTTCGAGTCTCGTCTAAGGTCGAAGTTTTGCACACAACTTTCCACCTTCTTGATACATTCACATCGTGCACCGTGATGAAATAACAGCAGTTAACAAAAACGTCAACAAAAACAAAAAAATCAAAATAATAATAATAACAATAATGATAGTGGTGACGATGACATTTAAAACAGTAGAAATTATTATATTATTTACAGCTGTGAATAATTGCACAATAATCACCCCAAAATATATCCATAGTAAAAAAAAACAATGGTAAAATTTTTAATGTAATCAGTTTCGCTTTTGTGATTCAATCCAAATTCACATAATAAAATAAGAACTATGGTTCCTGGTGGCTATTGAGTTAACGGTGTATAAGCCTTTTATTTTGATAGGAAAAAAATCAAAAATCACCTCCCGTTCGATATTCGCCCTGGTGACCCCCCGCCTTGATGTCGCATATCGTCGTTTCTTGATAAATTTTGCTGCAAATTCTTCTCCGGTGGCCTTTTTCACAACTTTCCTCACCACCGCAAATTGTCCACTGAAAAGAAAAATAATCAACAATGTTAACAATGTAACTCTCATAAACAGTTAATAACCCTGCAGATTTTGATGTGCTC